GGAGGTCCCTTCCAACCCAGCTGGTTCTGTGATTCTGTGATAAATATCCTCGTTCTGCTCGACCTTGCATCTGAATAAAACACTGTTTTTCAGAAAAGAAACTTTATTTTCTGCTTTCAGGTCTCCCAGAATGAACTGGATTGGTTTCACCAGGACTCGGAAGCACAGGGGAAGAAATGGCAGCAGGAGAAAAAAGAGAACCGAGACAGCTTAAAAGCCCTGAGGAGCACGGCCAAAAAACACACAGACACCAACGAGAGGTACTGATTTTAAACACAGATTTACAGCAGTCTGACATTTGAAAGACATCAGGTATCTCTGACTTTTACAGATATATTTCATTTATTATATATCTAAACCTAACCCTTGGCTGGGTAAGTCAAGATGTCAGAGAGCCCTGAGGAGTTTGGTCCTTCAGTGCTGTTGTTTTATCTTTACTCTTTGGGCCGAATTTCTCTGGAAAAATCCATCAGCCTGGTTTTTATATTAGTTGCTGATTTATTAGGAATATATTTAAATGTTCCTTAGGATAGAATCATGGAATGGTTTGGGTTGGAAGGGACCTTAAAGCTCATCCAGTCCCAACCCCCTGCCACGGGCAGGGACACCTTCCACTAGCCCAGGTTGCTCCAAGATCCAAACCTGGCCTTGGACACTTCCAGGGGTGGGAACACTGTAATATTTATGGCATCAAACAGTATCTAAAATATACAGATATTAAGATACAACAATATCTAAAGCACACAGGTTGTCATTGTGGCCACAGGGGGACCTGTTACACGTTTGCCAACGAACCTTTATCAGCACAAGTTTAATAAATGTTTCATTCCTGCAGGTATTTGAAGACCATTGATGACAAGGAAAAGCAATATAATGTGTATTTAAATACATTTCTGGACACCAGGTAAAAAGTCTTGTGCTTTTCTGCAATACTTCCATTTTTTTCTGCTGATTTGTCAATATTGGAGTTTTCTGCTTCACTCTGGGTAAAGGCTCAGGGAGAAATAAGCACTTTAACCTGTATCTCTTACTCTTAAGTTTGTTTAATTTACTTATCCTGAGTAAATATTAATATTTAGAATAATGGACATCTGTCTTTTCATCATACTCTCATATATTTCCCTTGATTACATGATACTGAGTAGAGAGAGTAGCTGTAGAAAACCTCTAAAATGGCATAAATTTTAAATACTGCTCTGCTGGAAATGTTACTCAAATATTTAACTTCTTTTTATTTCACAGTAATAAATTTGCTAATGAGAAAGTAAAATTGGAAGAGCTTATAAAAAAGAGTCAAGATGACTGCCAGGAGTGTGTGAAAAGAGCTGTTAAAGCAGAGGTACAAACCAAAAAAAAAAAACCACCAAAACCCCTTAAAAACCTTTTGCTAGAGCTTGGATCATTTGTGCTCATTGGAGGTGGGGAAAGTGATAGGAAAAATGTTATTCCAGTATTGATTAATGCTGTTCATGATGTTTTCCCACAAAACTTTGCAGGTCAAGGTGCATTATTATTATTATTATTATTATTATTATTATTATTATTATTATTATTATTATTATTATTGAATTAGTATTAGAAGTGCAGAAAATCTGGGGCATAAATTATTGCCCCAAACAAAATTCAACTCTGGTAATTGAGTCACATCCTTGTTTATGAAGAGATTCCATTTGGAATTAACCACAGAAACATTAAAAAACCTCCTTGTTTTAAGTTGTTAATGAATATGTAGCTACTTCCTTATGCAGGTAGAACTCATGTGTCAATATTTTTTCTAAACTAAGCTGTTTTATGCTGGAAATGCTTGGAATATTGAGAATATTGTGAACAATTCTCCCTTTCTTAGGAAGGGCTTGAAGGCTCTCGTTGGTCCACTCTAGTCTTCAACCTTGCAGTATTTAAAAGGCTGCCTTTTATCTCTAAATATCTGTTTATTTGCATATAGATGTGTGTGTTTATGTGGGAGAAGCTGCAGGGGGAACTTTTTATCCTGCCCAAAGCCCTGGGATGTTCATTCCACTTGAAATTCCCCCCTGGAGGAACTGGGTGTGTTTGTGCTTTGTGTCGTCAAACTCCTGTTTCAGATTCTAATTAAATTTAATTTCTAATTAAAATTTAGTTGGAGGGTTTTTTATCCCCTCATGTTTGAGGGTTTTCTTAACACTTTTTTTTTTTAACTCTTTGGTTCCAGATCTCAGTATTCCAGAACTGGAAGGAAAGTGAAGTTTGGAAGCTCAGTGGCACCATTTCCAAAGCAGAAGCAAATCTCAAGATGCTGAAGACACTGAGCAGGTACAGAGAGTTCACACCACAAATTTTAGTGCTCCTGGTTGTTAAATACAATTACAGAGTGTTTACTCACTATTATTATTGTTATTGTGATTAAATATTATGAAAATATTATTATTATTATTATTATTATTATTATTATTATTATTATTATTATTATTATTATTATTGTGTTTAAATGTTATGAAAATATTTACATTTTTAACATTAAAATTATAATTTTCCCCCTGCTTTAGTATCACACATCTGGGGGATTTCTAAAACTAACTTTATATTTTTATTTTTTAAGAATACAAATTTTTATTATATAAAATATATAAAATATATTATATAATATATAAAAGATCTATAATTTATAAAATATATATCTATATTATATATATTATATATAATACATTTATATATAATGTATATCTATATTATATATTTTATATATTATATAATATATTTATATATAATATATATCTATATTATATATCATACATAATATTTTTATCAATAATATATATCTACATTATATATATTACACATATTTATATATAATGTATATTATATATTATACATAATATATTTATCAATATATATTATATATATTATGCATATTTTTATATAATATATATTATATATATTATACATAATATATTTTTATATAACATATATCTATATCATACATAATGTCTATATATAATATATAAATAAAATATATTTTATAAACTTATATATTTTATATATAATATGTAATATATATTTATATATTACATATATATAAGATATATATGTAATATATATAACACATAAGAATATGAATTATAAATGTTTAATTTAACTCAGCTTGAGGAAAAGCTGCCTTTAACTCTTAAGTTTCAGGCTGGCATCCCTCTGGGAGCAAAACTCACCTGTAATTTTGGGGTGTTTTTAAATAATATTTATCTTCATGTGACATAATTGAATAAAATAAAATATTTAGAGGAAACATTAAATTATAATATTGAAGTACAGAGGATTTGGGGGATTTAGTATTGCCCCATCCAAAATTCAGCTGGTCTTTGAGGCTCATCCTTATCCCTGTTTTCTGTCTGAGCTGGGGAAGATCAGGCACCTGGGAACATTCCAGTTATTCCCAGTTTTCCCTGGGAAAGAACTGAAGTGTGAACAGAAAATACTGGGCAGCCAAGGTTGTTTTCTTCCTTACAAGGACCTGATTTAGCCCTTGATGGCACCTTAAATTTAAGTCATGTTCCCTTCCCCTGTCCTTGTGTTGCTGCAAAATCCTAAATTCCATGGTGGGAGTTCACTTCTGGGATTGGATGGAATCTGAACACCAAGAATTTAACTTTTTAACCCCAAATCCCTTAAAATCTTGAACTCAGTGATTAGTTGGTGAGGGAGAAACTTGTACAGACACCACTGGTCTTAAAGAAAAATAATGGGAATGTTGGAATTTAACTGCAAATCTTCAATATTTCAGCAACTCAGCTTCAGCAGCACCTTTGTTGAAGTCACAGATTGAATCCTGGGAAACTTTTATTTCCAATGTAAAGAAACAGCTGGAAAAAGTAGAGGTAAGGCTTCCTTTCTCTTAGCAAGCTTTTAAGTTGAATTTTGGGAAATTAAAACAGAATAAATACCTTAAAGAACTTTGCATTCCTTTTTTTTTAAAAAAAACACCAAGTATTGACCTGGAAATTTTTTTATTTTTTTTTTAATTACAGAAGAAAGACACAGTTTTAAATCCAGGTTATTTAAATAAATTTACAGTGAATATCTTCAATTTTACAAAGGCAAAAAAAA